AGTCATAGTTCCCCCATGCTGGCTCAGGAATTCTGGGAGTTGAAGTTCACCAGTCATGAAGGAGTCATAGTTCCCCCATGCTGGCTGAGGAATTCTGGGAGTTGAAGTCCACGAGTCATAAAGGGGGCCATAGTTCCCCCATGCTGGCTCAGGAATTCTGGGAGTTGAAGTTCACCAGTCATGAAGGAGTCATAGTTCCCCCATGCTGGCTCAGGAATTCTGGGAGTTGAAGTCTACGAGTCATAAAAGAGCAAAGGTTGCCTACCCCTGAACTAGACATACCCAATTCCTGCAACCGTTCTTCCTATGTTTTAGCCTCCTAATCTTTTTCGTTGCTCTTCTCTGCACTCTTTCCGGAGTCTTAACTCAGTTGGATCAGCCGTTGGGCTCTTTCGGTAATAAATCAGGGTTTGCAAGAATTTTCTGTCTGCTGTCTCCCGCCCTTGTCTGGGATCGAAACTGAAGCAGAGTCCGCTTCGGGGTACGCCTGGCTGCGAGGCCTCCTGTGTGGCTGCAGAGATTCAGGATTTTGGGTATGGCTGCCAAGAAACCTACCTGGACAAACTCATGAAGTCATCGGGAGCCGAGCTGGAGGCAGCTCCACTTTGTGCAGAGTTACTCATCGTCAAGAAACGTGGAGCAAATGAAATTTCCTTCTGGGCGAGCCGGCAAGGAAGGTTCCTTACACCCAGGCAGTTTTCCCAAACTTTCACAAATGCTGAGACTCTAGAAAGAGTGCAGAGAAGAGCAACAAAGATGATTAGGGGACTGGAGGCTAAAACATAGAAGGAACGGTTGCTGGAACTGGGTATGTCTAGTTTAATGAAGAGAAGGACGAGGGGGGACATGATAGCAACCTTCCAGTATCTCAGGGGCTGCCCCAAAGAAGAGGGAGTCAAGCTCTTCTCCAAAGCACCTGAAGGCAGGACAAGAAGCAACGGATGGGAACTAATCAAGGAGAGAAGCAACCTAAAACGAAGGAGAAACTTCCTGACAGTGAGAACAATTAACCAGTGGAACTCCTTGCCTCCAGAAGCGGTGAATGCTCCAACACTGGAAGTTTTTAAGAAGAGACTGGACAGCCATTTGTTTGAAATGATATAGGGTTTCCTGCCTGAGCAGGGGGTTGGACTAGATGACCTCCACGGTCCCTTCCAACTATTATTATTATTATTAACAACCTGCCTCCAGAAGCGGTGAATGCTCCAACACTGGAGGTTTTTAAGAAGAGACCGGACAGCCATTTGTCTGAAATGGTATAGGCTTCCTGCCTGAGCAGGGGGTTGGACTAGATGACCTCTAAGGTCCCTTCCAACTTTATTATTATTATTATTATCATCATCATCATCATCATCAATCATCATCATCAATCATCATCATCATCATCATCATCATCATCATTATTATTATTATTATTATTATTATTATTATTATTATTATTATTATTATTATTATTATTATTATTATTATTATTATTGTTATTAAAGGCCTGAGAGTGAGTGAGTGGGGGGGAAACCAAATTCCCTTAACAACCGTGTTACTCATTTAACAACTGCAGTGATTCAGTTAGCAAATGCGGCAAGGAAAGTGGTAAAACGGGGCAAAACTGCACAAACCTCTCACTTAGCAACACATACTTTTGGGGCTCTGTTGTGGGTGGTAAGTTGAGGACTTACCAGCAAGATTAGCAAAAATGTTTAAAAATACGTCAGATAGATGTTGGAAATTTAAACACAATTCAGGCACGTGTTATCACGTTTGGCGGACATGTGACAAAGCGAAGAGCTATTGGAAAAAGAATACCTGCTTGGTTGGAAAAGATGTTGGGAGAACATGTAGACTTTAAACCTGAACTTTTCCTACTAGGTGTAAGGCCAGAAAAGATTAACAAACAAAGCCTACATTTGACCCTACCCGTCACAACAGCTGCAAGAATAATGTTTGCGCAATATTGGAAAAAGGAAAGAACACCACCAGAGGGAGAAATAATTAAAAAAAAAAATTGGAATGCGCAGAGATGGACAGATTGACTATGAGACTGAAAGAAAAAGGAAGAAACAGAATATTACCAAACCTGGGACTTATTCTATCAATGGCTAGAAGGAAAAAAATGAAGGATTAGGAATGAAATATGTATTAATGCTTTCAAACTCAGACAGCACGTTGGTTGAAAAAATTATTATATGTATGTAAGAAAAAAAATTAATAAAATCTTACCCCCCCAAAAAAAGTTGAGGACTCCCTGTGTATTCATTTTAACATCTGCAGTGGAGCTTAGCCAGATGTTAGGCGCGAACCACCACAGCCACATATAGGAAGAGTTCAGTTACCTATTTTATTACTCCTAATATTTGCACAGCAACCTTCCCAAGTGGTTTATTTATATTATCTAGATAAGGTGCAGCAGCATTCAAGACTTTGCCCTCTTGTGCCTACATAAGAATTCCAGACTAATTCCCTGCTTGACCCCTGCCCTTGTCTCGGCCAGGGGAGCATTAATTCCCCCCCCCCAAATTTCAAAATCTTTTAAAAATTGTTCTCCATAATTTGATATACAGCTGATCCATGGACTTAACAACTGTTCATTTAGTAACAGTTCGAAGTTACAACTGCACACAAAAATGTGACTTACGGCCAGTTTCCGCAGACAATCTTTGCAGCATTATATGATGTAAGATCTTGGGATGAATTGCGATAAAGGAAATTGGGGTTATTTAAAACTTGGAAACTATACACACTAAACGTTCAATTTAAATATTAATGGGAAACTAAAAATGGGGAAAAACTAACCAGGACTTTGATTGTCTAAAAAGATTGAATGTTAAAATGACTAAGATATGTATAAACTAAAAATTATTGAGAAATGTAAGAAAGTTATTTGTATTAAATTGATATAATAAGCATTGTACTAATTTGATTGTGAGGCAGTACATACCAAGGGGAAAAGAGAGGAAACATTTAATGTAATAGTTTGTGATCTGCACTAAAGAAATTTCTATGTTATTGAAGTATGAACCAACCCAGACGCCACGTTGCTTTTCAAATATTTAAATGTAAAACTGGAAAATCAAATAAAAAATAAAAAATAAAAATTGGAGGCTCGGCAACCGGCTCGTATTTATGACGGTCGCCGTATCCCGAGGTCATGTGATCCCCTTTTGCGATCTTCCCACAATGGGGGAAGCCACATTCATTTAATAACCATCTTTACTAACAAAACAATTGTAGTAATTCACTTAACAACTGTCGCAAGGTCGTAAAACGGGGCAAAACTCACCTAACAAATGTCTCACTTAGCAACGGATGCTTTGGGCTTCATTGTGGTCGTACATCCGAGGACTACCGGTAATCATTTTGAAATTGTTTTGTCAGTTCTGTCGAATACTGTACGGGAAGTCCTTGGACTTACGACAATGGAGCCCAAAATTTCCGTTGCTAGGGGAGATGTTTGTTGAGTGAGTTTTGCTCCATTTTAACGACTTTCCTTCCCCTCAGCATGGCTGGCTCAGGAATTCTGGGAGTTGAAGTCCACCAGTCATAAAAGAGCCAAGGTTGCCTACCCCTGGGCTAGATTGTGCCACAAAGGGCCCAAAATGCAGTCACATCTGGGCAGGTTTTTTTTTTTGCAACATCAGAACTTCAAAATTGGGTTATAAGTAGCTTTTGGGGGGGGGTCTGTTGATGCTACGTGACTGGTCATAAGTCAAGGAGTAAGTGTAGAGCAACCTGTCTCGTATCGTACTACCTACTGCCAGACAATCATCCATCCAGTTCCCTCCCTCTTCCCATCTCCTTCCTCCCCCTCCATACCTCCTCCTTCCCATCCTCCTTCTTCCCTTCCTCCCTTCCTCCCTCCCTTCTTCCCATACTTCCGCCTTCCCTGTCCCTCCCCATATTTCCTTCTTCCCTCCCTCCCTCCTTTCCATCCCCCTCTCCCTTCCTCCCTCCCATCTCCTTCCTCCCCCTTCCTCTCTCCCTCCCTCTTCCCATCTCTTTCTTCCCCTTCCCTACCTCCTTCCCATCCACTTTCCTTCCTTCCTTCCTTCCTTCCTTCCTTCCTTCCTTCCTTCCTTCCTTCCTTCCTTCCTTCCTTCCTTCCTTCCCCCTTCCCATCCTCCTCCTTTCCATCCCTTCCTTCCTCCCTCCGTCCCTCCCATCTTGTTCCCTCTCCCTCCTTCCCATCCTTCTTTTTCCCTTCCTTCTTCCCTCCTGCCCTTCCCTCCCTCTATCCCTCCTACTTTCCATCTCCCTCCCTCCCTCCCTCCCTCCCTCCTCCCTCAGGACAGAGGTGGATGGCTTAGGACAGTGGTGGCGAACCTATGGCACGGGTGCCAGAGGCGGCACTCAGAGCCCTCTCTGTGGGCACACATGCCGTCGCCCCAGTCCTAGGCCTTCAGCTGGGTTTTATAAAACCTTTTCGCTTTAGGCCTCGGCCGCCGTGTGCAAAAAAAAAAAAGGTTCAATCAATTAATCAATTTCAACTTCTCAGGGAAAAAAAAAGATCTTGCAAAGTTGGAATTGATTGATTGAACTTTTTAGTCCCACCCAGTCTGCCGTTACCACCGCAGCCACGCCCACCCAATGGGCCACACCCACCCAATGGGCCACGCCCACCCGGCACCCGACGATGCATAAGTGGGTTTTGGGTTGCAGTTTGGGCACTCGGTCTCTAAAAGGTTCGCCATCACTGGCTTCGGAACCCTTAACGTACTTACCTGGGTGTTCTTCTCTGTTGTATCCACGGCAGGCAGGCTGGCTGGATGAGGAGTTTGGCGTCCCTCACTGAGACCATCCGTCTTCTTTGAGCCTGGGCCTCTCCCGAACCTCTTTCCCACCATGTTCCACTTAATCAAGAAGGACCGAGACGGGTCCCGGAGGGAGAAGAAGGAGAAGAAGGAGAAGAAGGAACGCATGTCGGCCGCCGAGCTGAAGAGCCTGGAAGAGATGAGCCTGCGACGAGGTTTCTTCAACCTCAACCGGTCTTCCAAGCGGGACGCCAAGAACCGCCTGGAGATCTCCAACCCCATCCCCATCAAGGTGGCCAGCGGCTCGGACCTCCATCTCACCGACATCGACTCCGACAGCAACCGGGGCAGCGTGATCTTGGACTCCGGCCACCTCAGCACGGCCAGCTCCAGCGACGACCTCAAAGTGGACGACGGCACCTTCAAGGGCTCGGTTCTGCAGCGGGCCGCCAAGTTCGGCTCGTTGGCCAAGCAGAACTCGCAGATGATCGTCAAGAGGTTCTCCTTCTCCCAGAGGAGCCGCGACGAGAGCGCCTCGGAGACCTCCACGCCCTCCGAGCATTCGG